TACAATGTTTGACAGGAACATGGAGGCCTCAGCATACCCGCAAGGAACAATGAAGGAATGAGCCATTTGAATGGTATTTTCCTTTCTCTCCGAGCTCCTAAATTCACTGCAGGAAGCAGATGCAGAAGCAATCTGCTATTACCCAACGTGGCCTCTTTGCCCACACATGCTCCTGCTTCCTTAAAAGTCAAAAAGGAAAGGCAAAAAAAAAAATGCGCAAAAATTAGTGCTTTGGGTTCAGGAAATCCCAACTCCTGGAACCAATGGGTTAATATGGGGTCCATTGATAAATTCCAGCTGTTGCAGTGTGTGCTCCGCGGTGCATGCTCAACATTCCAGCTGGAGGCCATGTAATCAGTGTCGGAATGGGCAGAAAGGATAATATCTTGCACGGTTTCACCTTTGTTCCTGCTTCCCAATGTGCCTATGCTAAAATTTCAATTCCTTGCTTCAGCTTGGACAAGCGAGTGTAAAGTTACTTTCCAAAGAATCCAGAAGAATATTTTGTGTGAAGAAGGTGGGGCAGATGGAGCTGGCCCACATTTGATGGAGAACAATTTCCACTTGGGGCTGGGCCTGCCTGCCCCAGGCTTGCACTGAATGATCCCAGCTGTGCAGCTTCTGGCAGGCCCCTGCCTCCCGCCCACTCGGAGGGAAGGACGCCTCCCCTCCTTTACTGGGGCATCCGGGAAACAGGCGGGAGAACAGGTGGGTCACAGCCAGATGCAGACTGTGCACCAAGAGGACCCGGCCAAGTCCAGAGAGCCTGTGCGGCTTCTCCACACGAGGCAGCATCAGCTCATTTGGAAGAAAGCAACTGGGAAAACAAACATCAAGTCAAAAGAGGAGAAACCATGAGCTTTAGAAGGAGCTGAGAACCTTTTAGGCTGTAGGAGTTTGTTCGTGCCATAAACTTTTCGGTCTCCTTGGCCAGAACCAGCACTAGCAATGGTGAAGTTCTTTTAAGGAGAGGCGCATCAGAGTTACAGTCCAGCAGAGGCCCATATGCACTTGCTCTGGGCCTGAGTGGTTTTTTTTTAGACTTGAGAAGTTGGAATGGATGACCGTGAAGGTTCCTTTCAGGTTGCTCTAAGACTATCCAAATCTGGCTATGATCCATTTGACCAATAAACAGCTATCTATAGAGATGCACTAACACATCGTAAGTGTCCCTTGGCTAGTATTGGGCTCACTAGTGTCCCCAGACATGAAGGAGGTGGACACCAATAAAAACCCTACTGTAATGCTAGTACAGAGACACAAATGTGTGGTCAGAGCAGAGGGAATTTTATTAGGATAATTTCTAAGCAATATCCTGCAAATGATCGCTATTTCAAATCCTCACTAACTTGAATCTCTCGGCGGGGGGAGGTGAGGGGGGGTCTCAGTAGGTCACTCAGACGCCATAGCTTAGCATGAATAGCTAAGAGTTTCCACCTGAATCCACAGGCCTAGGCCATTCCACTTCACTGAGGGCTATAAGCAAGATGGAGACCCTGATCTGCCCCCCACAGCCCCCAATTTAGGTGTGAAGCACCAGGTGATGGGTCTTCGTTTCAGACTCAGGGGTATGGTACTCAAGACTGCATCTTTATGTGTATATTTCAGGACCGTTTATGTGTATATTTTTATGTAGAAGGCATCTTGCATGTGTCAACTCAGGTTCTCAGATCTGAAAAGAACTGGAATCACTGAATCAGAAAATAATTTATTCCATCCAGCTGTATTTTAAATATCTTATGAGTCACCTTAAATGCTTTCTAGAAGAAGGTAAGTATACATAAATAAAATAATTTAAAAAGAGTAAATGATTCAGCACATATTTGTTCACTTTCAGAGTGCAGAGGACTGCTAGGCTTTATGAGGTTGGAGAGTCAGGGTGTGGAGGAGGTAAAGATGGGCAGGATATGGTCTCATAGGAAGATATGACAGAGACCCCAAACAATGCAAGACTGCATGGGAAACATGAACCATGGGTTGCAATGACCACAAGTAAGGCAGGATTTCACAAGATAACAGTACTGGGCTGGTCAAGATGATGGCATAGACATTGAAATGAAATGTATAAGGGGCTATTTAAAGATCTCTTACCTGCCTATGAGGCCTGTACCAATGCTGAAAGGTGCTTATTGACCCCCAATACCCCCTCCTGTCAGTACATACAGCTCACATGGGAGTTCTTTCTCCTGTCACCTAAGCCCCCTCAAGGTCCAGCTGAGGGCAGTGCAACTGAGTTAACAAGGAGAAACAGGAGACAGGGATGCTGAAGAGATGGGCAGTTTTCACACCCTAGGAGGTCATGCACAGACCAGAGTATGGAGGCTTTTGAAGCCACAATTGTCCTCACTCTGTCCTCACATCACAAGGGCTTCTCATCCCTCCCATGACCCAAGCAGACCCAGAGATCTGGAGGGGAGAAGGAGCCTGCACGTGGCCCTGTCAGTGTCAGGCAGGCATTGGGAACCGAGCCCCAAAGGGTGGCCAGGTGTCCTCAGTGGTCACTGATGAAAGGATGGAACCAGAGCTGAGGACTCATGGCAGTGAGCTGGAGAGAGAGGCTAAAGACCCAGTTTCTACCCTAATCAAATCAAGTTTTTCTCTTGTTTTTATTAAGAGGATCCCCGTTTAGCATGAGCCCACCCCCCCACACTCAGGACCCACGGACAGAATCCTCAATGTGACCACTTCAAATGCCCCTGAAGTGGACTTACAGTTGGAAACTGCCTCAAAGTCCTTGGCTTTCAAAGTTTAAGATGGTGGCTTTTGGTTACGGAGGCTCTTAAATGAAGACATTTCAAACATTTTTGTGTGCGTGTGTGATTTGTCTTCTTCTTGGTAATTAGAGGTGAGGAGGAGAATTTCATTCCCATTATGAGGTAGCCGTCCTTTCATGCCATCAGCAAGGTTTTCTTGTGCCTCCTGCCAACACAAACCCAGTCTGGTTTGGTTTATTTTGCTGACTACCCAGGGATGGCCTCTCGCTCCCTCACGGCATCCTGGGGAGCCTGTGTGCACCCAGACACAGGAAAGACGGGGCCGTGGAGGAGTGGCTTCCAGCTCTGCTCGCCATGCTTCTCAGATTCAGCCGTCCTCAGCAAAGGGAGGGCTTCTTTTCCAGAAGTTCCAAAAGGCTTACAGAGGTTTTATTTTGTTTTTTAACAATTACCAAGGAAAAGAAACATAAATCAACCTGAGTGAAAGCAGAAATCCCTACCCCCTGACACACACGCAAATCAAGCAGTGAAATGATATGGACTTGCAGGCATGACTTGCCTAGCACCAGAGCTGTTAAGGGTCCAGAGTGGGTGTAATTGGCCCGGTGGACATTTTCTTTAGCTCTGTACAATTCCCCAGGCCTGTTCCTCATTGGATAAACTTACTCATGAATTAAGGTTTCAAAATTAAAATATATAGATCCCCAAGGGCAACTTTCAAATTGCCTAGTCAGAGCATTACACAACTACTGGTTTTCAACAAGCGAAGCTGAGGCTGCTCGAGGCTGACCCCATTTTGTGAGTGTGGCTCAGGCCCATGAACAGTGGGGTCCACTCAGGATGCCTTTTAACTGTTAACTCAAGTCCCCTGATTGTTGTTGGTGACCATCGCTTATAGTCCAGGAACAACATGGGAAAGGGACTCATGAAAAACTCTCCAAAGACTTTCTGAATAACCTATTTTTGCAAAAGTTCATACTATGCTTGTGTGTTGAAACTTTGAAGGTTCCCTAATTTTCCAGGAATGAATTTCTCTTCCAAGTAATACATGAAAAATCACTTCTCATTAAAGTAGCCATCAATACAAAAATAGCTTTACAAAATATATAACATGACATTGGAGAGATCCTAAAATATTAGCTACATGGTCATGACATTCGCATACTAAACAACAGATCGGAGTTAGGGTCTGGAGATGAGGTTCAGAAGCATGTGACTGGATGGGGTGAGGGGGCTGCCCCAGGTATGTGAGTCACCTCACTTGACCCCCCAGGCCTGGGATGGGCCTGGAGCAGTCCAGGATGGAGCTGGGTACTCAGGTAAGCTCAGGGATGGACCAAAGTGGAGGTGCTCCAGATGGGCCACCAAACCTGTGAGGGGACAGTGTGTAGTGCCAGCAACCCACCTTGATGCATGCTCTGAACCTGCCCTCCAGAGAGAAGAAGGGGCACAGATAGAGGGCTCTTTCTGAAATATACCAGTCTGTTGTGGGAAAAGAGGCAGCTTGCTCGGGATTTTAAAATTTCCTAAGCCACCTAGTCAAAGCATATGTAGCAAAATGGAGTATAGTGAGAACCACATCTCAATATTTACATTTGAGGAAACTTCACATTTGAATAGAGTATTTCCCAAGTCATATTTTCCCCTAAGGTGATGGGGCATTTGGATGGAAAAAGAGACGGAGAGGAAAATTGCCTGGAGTGAATTGCAGGGAGAGCTAAGAATATTATGGAAGATCCACAAAGCCTTCCAAGCTTCTAAATGGACCAGCTGGATAAGATGACAGCTCAAAATGTGATCAAACATTTCAAGTTAAAAAGGAATCCTAGATTTACTGAAAGCTGAACTCAAAAGCGTAAGGCTGGGTTTTTACATTTTCTAACTTTAATCAATCAAATACTCCTTTAAAAAATATAGTGCAGCTGAGTCACATAAGGCCCTGTGGCCCTGCTATGCTCACCAGGGGTTGTGGGGGTGGCAGGAGCAGCTTCCTCCTACCCCAGGTCAGACCCTGACGGCCACTTCAAGAGGCCTGAGTAGGAAAGTGATTCTTGGAGTTCTTGACCAAATGAGCCCCGATTGAATCCAGATCAGCACTCCCCAGAAGGTGCTCAGCTGAAGCCCAGGGCCTAACTGGAAGCAGAGTACTCCGAGTTCACGGCCCCTGGGAGGAGGCGTGTAATAAAGCACTGTCTGCCCTTGCGGTAACTGGCGCCCTTCACTTTCCTGTCCCCAGCCCTGGAACTGATTAGCAGGACATGAGTAATTTACCCATTAGACCACCTCAGAAGCAGGTGGGGTAGAGAAAGCAGCGGGCAGAGACAAATAAAAGTCTCCATTTTCACTCTGCGAAGGCAGCACTTACGCGAAATGAGGGGTTTTCATAGACTTCTTTGAAACCAACCTGGGAGGACCAAGCTGCAGCCTTTTTCTTGGCAAAGGCTGTGGCTGCTTTGTGCTCCCACCCCTACAATTAGGGCAGAGGCCACGTCGCTTCCTGAAACAAGATCTGCACTTTAGCCCTTAGCTCTGGGCGGGACCCAGTTGCTGCTGTGGCAGTGGCGTGGTCGGAGGGACAGGACAGCCCACCAAGGCGGCACAGGGACAGTGTGCAGAGATGCCAGGTGGGCAAGGCGCTGGCATGGCTCTAACCCCAGGTGACCGGTCCTGCTTTGCTCCTAGCAACCCAGTGGTCTGGAGAGAGTGGGCCAGGCTAGGATTCCTGAGCACCTTCCAGAAGGTTGGCAAGACCTTACATTCAAAGGTGAGCTCTCTGGCCCAGCCCAGGGGAGGTGTTGGGGTCCTGTCACTGGGGCTCCATGAGCAACAGCCTGGGATCATTTGTTCCCTCTTATAACGGGAGTTCATACCTAATATGGAATAAAAATATGTGTTTCCCAATGTATAGCCCACCTTTTCCAGCTTCCTTCATCACCTTGGTGGTGATTTTAGGGGCTGACGAGCCAAACGCTGCTTCCCAGCCAGTGCCAGCTTCTGCCGTGTCCACTCACCAGTGCCAGCTGCCACCTGCACCTCTAATAACGTCAGGAGGCTCCAAAATGCTGACATGTGCTCCTGAAGTTTGGTTTTAAGTGCTTTCTCAGAAATCTGAGTTGACTGAATCTATCTGGAACGTCATTTGGAAAATGCTTGACATTTCTATAGCAAAGCACTGCTCATTTAGGAAAAAATGATGAAGAGGAAATAAAGACTGGACTCCCAAGCCAGCTCTTACAAACCCCCAACCTTCCCACTACCAGGAGCAGCCCACAGTCTCCTCACCCCTCTCTGAGTGTGGCTTTCGCGGCCTCAGTTCTCGGCTGTCACATTTCAGACAGTGGGAAGCACAGCTCTGACTGGCAGTTGGATGTTTGGCAGCTCCAGCTTCTGTCCCCCAAAAAAACCTTAGTCCCAGGCTCTTAAATGGGCACACGTCATTTACTTTCTTTATAATTACTAAACTGCAGAAGATTAGGTCAAACTTTTTTATTGTTCAACTCCAGGTCATTATGATCATGTGCAATAAAGCCCACTTGGTTCAGTTATTTAAAGGAAGAGCTTAAAAAACAAGTACAAAGCTCCTGGCGGCTTTGGAGCAGAGAAAGGGGATTTCTGGGAGAGGAGTATAGGAAGTGTTTGGAACTCTCTCCTGCATGGATACGGCTCCTCCTGCTCCACAGTGGAATTCACACGAGAGCCCTGACCTTAAAGTCTTGGCTTCATCAGAATGTCTAAACTGTTTCTTGGGAGATGGGGGTAAACGTGCCTTCAGAAGAACTGCCGAGTGGATAAAACTGGATGTGGTCACAGAGCTAGAAGAAAACGTAAGGGGAACATGCAGAGTGGAGGAAGCTATTCCTGTGGGGGCTCGTGGCAGGGCCTCCTCATCCCTGGGCTCACATTGTGCTTCTCCCTCCCGTGGACATGTGACTTCCCATGGGAAAGAGTTTAGGGGCACGCCCACAGAGAACGGAAAAACTCACATTTTCTAAGACGTTTCGCACTGCCTGTCACAGGAGCTGCATCTCGCCGTATGCTCCTTGGCTCCCTGCTGCCCACCTGAGGTTCTTAACCTGCTGCCTCTGCCCTTCCACATGTGACCTTCCATGAGGGTCAGAGCAGGGTCCATTAGATTGTGTCACCTTCCCCCCTGAGGGGCACCCTCCACAGCCCCAGTGGAAAGCTGGGAACATGAGCGCAGACCTGGAGTCTGGTCACCTGAAGTCCGGTTACTCTTTGTCACCAGACTCTCTAACTCTCTCTCAGTTTCTCGATCTCTCGATCTCTCAATCTCTCGCAACCCCCAGCCCCCATATAATGTTGTCATCTTATCATTCCTCAGAGTTCAGCTTGGGTTTTCTAGAATTCAAGTGCTAACTGATTATTTGTAGACCCCAAGGACTCACCTACAATGTTTTCATTAGCACTGAAACTATAGAGTTGCCTCAAATGAAAAACCCTCAGACCCAAAGCATGGTGGGTGAGTGTCAAATGAACTTGTTGCTATATATCTAATCCACCATCAACCACCCTCCATCTCATGTCTGAAAGCAGGGCCAGGTCCATCTGGGTGTTTTCTCGGGAGCAGCTCCTCAAGTCTGGTTCTTCTTGTTCTGAAGATCTGTGAACGAGAGAAAGAATGCCATGGCCCTCACACATTCAGTGAACAATGGTGATATCGGGGTAGGAAAACTCCATTTAACACCCTCCATTCATAAGAAGAGAGGAAAGGAAGCCTAGATCAGTGATTGGTCCACAGCAGTTAGGAAATCTGGTCAGGCACAGGTCTCCATCTCGTCTCTGAGCAGAGCCAGGTCCTGAGTAGAGCCCAGAAGGGCTCCAGAAACTCTTTGTCAGGAGCTATTGTGGGCAACACTCTTAACATTTTTTTAAGCCCTGTTATCTAACTGAGAAATCCTACAACACATGTCTTTAAGACTCTTAGAAGCCCTACTAGGTATATTCTGAAATCTTTCTAAGGTCTTGAAAGAAGTCTTACAGCTTCAACCTTGTGATTGTCACCTGGAGGCCATGCTATACAAACATGGATTTGATCTTTGTCCTAAAGCCAATTCTCATCATGAGACACTTTGGCTGAGAGACAATGAAAATGAGGAACAGTCTCATTATCATACCCAGAAAGTCCTGGCCTCTTTAGATTTTCCCTAAGCTCTGCTCCGGGCCTTAATAGTTCCTTTCTCAGTCCATTTCTTTTTTCTCATAGTTTATCACAGGGAGCTGGAAGAAGCCAGTGGTACTTTCTGTCTTCTGCCTGGTGTCTCCTCAGCCAGGCCCAAGAGTTTATTGGGTACCCTTTTTGTTTTCCATGTTACCACAGGCGACAATACTGCCAAACTTTCTGTCCAGCCTTCAATAACATTTTCCTCACTGTCCTCCAAGCTCTCATCAACAGTCTCCTTGAGGTCCTTCCAACTTTTATTAATCTTCTCCAAGTCCTCTCAGCTTTTGCCCCATGCCTTGTCCCAGAGCCAAAGCCATGTGTTGGATTTTGTTATGGTAGCAATCCACTTCTAGGTACCAAATTTTGTCCTGATTATCTATTGTTGCATAACAAACTACCCCAAAGCTTAGTGGTTTAAAACAACGACCATTTTTCACAATTTTGTGGATATGAAACTTAGATAGAGCCCACTGGATGATATATGTTTTTTCCTCCACTGGATCAGTTGGTGATACTCACCTGGTGGGTGTGCTGACCCATTGGGACCAAGATGGTTTTGTTCACAGAGCTGGCACTTTGGGGGAGATGACTAGAAGGTTGAGCTAAACAGAGACTATCAATCAGAGTCCCTACACACAGCTTCTCGAGCAGGCAGTCAGGATGGTCACGTGTATCACATGGCAGCGCAAAGCTTCCAGGAAGAATGTTCCTAGAGACTGTGGAAGCTGCCATTTTCTGATGACTTGGGTTGAAAACCAGCACACCATTTCTGCCATCTCCTCATGAACAAAGTAGTTCACTCAAAAGGAGAGGACATAATTCTCACTTCTCAGTGGGAGAATTGTAAAAGAATTGATGGCCATCTTTTGTCTTGCATACTCCTTCCTCATCTCTTCTTTCTTCCTTTGGCCTGGAATGACATGTGAAGGCTGGAGCTGCAGCAGCCATCTTGGACCATGAGACGTTTTGGGGAATAAAAGGAATGCACTGCAAATCGACAAGCTAGAAGCAATCTACAGCCCCAACACCATGGAAAACCATCAAATCTCTGACCTGTCTACCCTGAAATTTTAGAATGTGAGAGAAAATAATTTTTCTTAAGTCACTGTTATTTGGGGCTTTTCTGTTGCTTGCAGCCTAAAACCTAGCAGTAGTTTGGGGTACCATGTATCCTTTGGTAGCTCAGAGTTACAGATTGAGGAGACTTTTCTGCACTCCAACAATCCATCCTCTACCCCATAGCCAGAGTTTCCTGAAGCGCCACATATACAGGTGGTAAAAGCTCCCCTACCACACCTTCCATTATCCGAGTCCTTGACTCACACTCTGATCTCATCGCTTCTTTTGAAACAAATTTTCTGTCCGATTAAAGTTCAGTATACAAGGCCCTGCATGGTTCGTCCTGCACAGTTTGGCCTTGACCCATCTCTCCTGACTTGCCCGCACTCCCCTGCATCCCACCTGGAGGGCGAGCCACTGTTCAATGTGCCCTGTGGTATCCTGCCCGGGGGGGTGTATATGCCTGCTGTCCTCCCCCACCTACACACCTTCCAAATTCTATCGTGTTTTCAGGGCAGAGGTAAAATCTCTCTTCCTTGGAGAAGAATTTCTATGATCACAAAGAAAGGGGTTTCTCCTTCTCTTGGACTTTTACAAGGAATCATTGTCCAAACCCCTTGTTTGACAACACATTTCACTGTCAATGGAGTGTTTGGTTGTTTTATTCTTCCCACATGGACACGTCTCAATTCTTCAACTCGACTCTGAGTCACCAAAGTGCAAGGGCCCGCATCACCATTCTTTGGGTCTCCAGTGTCTAGCTAGTCATGGCTTTGCTTCCAGGAAGCCACCCGTCTGGCATAAGCAGAGTCAACCACTGGCCAAAAAGGAGAGAGGAGGAAGAAAATGCAGTTTATCAAGCCACTGCTTTCCGGTCCCTTGCATACCAGCCGGGCACATGTGGCCCACCATTCCTAACTCTCTTTCCCTAACTCACTAGTCACTCAGTGGTGTAATCACCTCAGAGGACTCACTGTGCCACTGTAAATCCAAAGGACCGAGGCCCAGGCCCCAATCCCTGGGCAACCTCATCAGCCACTTGAAACATAGACTGATGCTGAGGCATAGGGGGGATGTCCTGGTTGCTTGGATTTTGTTCCACGTCAGCACTTTGCCCTACAATCATTAACAGAGATCAGGGCGGGACATGAGTATAGACATGAGAATGTCTCAGCTTTGCCTGTGATCACCTGGGAGGAAAACCCAATGTGTCCCCCACTCAGTGCCCTGCAAGACCGCCCCCGCTGCAGTCTGAGCCTGCAGAGAACCAGGACGGACTCTGCTGGGACATCAGATGGCCTGGGAATCAGAGAAGCAGCCCAAAATGGCAAAGATTCTGACTGGAAACTTTAGCTAAACTCAGCATTGCTTTTCATGAGACCTGAAAGTGTGACAATGAGTAGAACTGACACCCGGGGAGATTACATTTAATGAGTTGTTTGGCAAAGGCTATTTCTGAAATTAATTATCAATCACTTCTAATTATTTTTAAATGACGTTTATTAATCCACAAGGCTTGGGGAAATGTGTGTACTACTTTCGGGACCCACGTGGGGGGCCGTCTGGTGCCCTGGCTGAGCCTGCAGCTCCTGGCCTGGGGTACAGCCTGGGTCCAGGTGGGTGGACCCAGTGCCCACTTGTCTTCCAAGGGGAGTAAGCAAGAGCCAGGAGAAGCTAGACTCTGGCCTGAGCTCTTCCTTGCCCAGAACCAAACCCGGATCTCCCCTAAGGTCCAGCTTCAGCTCCAGGCCTCACTAATAATTCAGCCCCATTTAATCCAAGACACCTGAAAATCTGGCACCCTCAATGCATGCCACACCTGTGGAAGAGGTGTGCCTGGTGTGCCCTTCTGCACAACCAACAGAAGCTTGGGAAGGAAGCTCATGAGCTGAAGCAGAATCAACCCCGTGCCTTAGCATACCCAGCCAGAGCAAGGGAGCTGGGCTCTAGCTACTGCTTCTGCCTTCTCAGGACCCTACCTGGTCTGCAAATATTTAAATTAGTGTCAGAGAAACAGCCAGGCACACACACGGGAATCTGGTCAAACATCAGAGTGACAGGAGCGCAGGCCAGCAACCTCTGCCCAGTACTTACCTGAATGGTCTTCCTAGAAGGAGGAAGTGTGTGAGGCTCACCCACCAGCTTCTGCTACCCTTGCCGAGACTCGACTTGCTCTCTCTGCCCAATTTGCTCTTCATCAAGCACACCACACCCCTGTACCAGGGCATTCTCTGATGGACCAAAAACAGCTTCCCTCTAGCACGTGCCAAGGGCAGAGGTGGCAACTTTCTTCCCAGTTCTTGTGGTCCCAGCACCCAGCACAGAGCCTGGTAAATGGCCAAGGCTTAACAAATGTTGGTTTAATGATGACAGATGTTCCCAGGCCTGCCTCCCATGAGTTTTACCATCAGCCATCACGGTGTTGGGATTGTCATCAAAGAGAAGACAGAAGGCTGTACTCGTGCAAAGGTCCACACTTTCCCCCCCTCTCGCCAGCTGCTCTGTAGGCTCCAATTAGCTGGGGCGTTGCTCTGTTCCTGTTCATTAAAGGTGGCCCACAAGGGCATAGGAACCGTGGCGAGAATTCAAAGGGTCTGTTCAGAGCCAAGCACTGACTCCCACAGTCACTATAGGCCACTTTGGAAAACCATTTTCCTTTGAAATAGGGAGAGTAAAACTTAATGGGGAAGTTTGCAGAATCTCATTCATCAAAAAAGTCCAGAAATTCTTTCTTTTCCTGGAAGCCGTTCATCAGCATTGCTGCAAACATTCATCTGTAGAATCCTAAGAGGGACAATCCCCACAGGATGGCCCTTAGAAGACAGGCAAAGAATTAGCATGTAGACAAGTATTGAACAACCATCAAAATGAACAAGATGCTGCTGCTTGTAGGACCTTGACAGAGACAGGATTTATGAGTCCCTGGTTTCCATAGGCTGCGGCAGAGCTAGGGCCTCCTCATCCTTACAGCAAGTGAGGTCCTCAGTCCTCACCTCTTTAGGGTCAACCTGGAATGTCTTTGGAAAGAAGACTCAATGCAAGTGAAATGTTGACTCCAAAAGGGGGCTTTCACCTAGGATGGGGCAGGGTGGGGTTGGGACATCTGCCTCGGCCTAGAAGTAGTTCTCTGAGTGGTATTAGAGGCTGAAGGAGACAAGTGACAGTGTAACAGGTCAGGGAATGTGCACTGTCACCCCGGTCTGGACCAGGACAGGCCTTTTCCAGGTGGCCTGAGTAGGCCATCCCTGACTCATGTCACCCCTGGTGCAGGTAGTCCTTGGGAGGTGTCCACCATGAACCCGCCCCACCCCATTCAGAGCAGCACACAACAATCGAACTCACACAGCAACTCAACTTACCCTGGGGTGGACTGGAATGGACCCAAGTAAGACTTTCTGGAATCTCAGCCCTTTTAGAGCCATATGGAAGCCACTAGATGTCTGTGTTCTATAGACAAATGTCCCTGGTGTTTGTCCGGTCTATAACCTTACATCCTCTTCCCATGTCCTTCCCAATATTACAGGGTCAGGAACATTTTAACTCAGGGCCTCCGGGGCTGATGTACTGCTTTGTGTTGTTGATTTTTTTTTCAAATGTCAGATATTGATTGAAGAATTTTCCTTTAATTGAGGATGTACTAATCACCCTACAATGATTTACACCTAAAAGATGAGGCACACTCAAAGAAGGGCTAAATGGAAGTGGATGTTGGTATCAAACATCAAATTGGCATGGGGTCCAGTTCTGGCCGCATCCGCCTGACCATGTGCCTTGAACAGTCATGTCACTGCCTTGGCCCCCGTTTGCACATACGCAAAATGAGAGTTAGGCCAACCCATCTCCTCTCCAGGCTTGAGTCCAATGGCATTCTGACACGTGGCACTGGCTTCATCAACTCCTGCTGGTGGACAAGTGAAGTGCTCCATCACCTTCCATCTAGGAACCTCTGGTGAGCTTTGAGGTTCAATGTAGCAGTTTGTCATCTCTAGAGGGACGTCCTGGCAGAAATGAGAGCAGGAGGCACCAGCTGGGTATCCTGGAGGGATGGTATTTAGTTGGGAGTTATTCCTTTTAAACTGGTTGTAGCTAGTCCATACTGCCTGGAGCTGAGCACAGCAGCTTCAGAAATACGCACATGTCGAGTTAAATCTTCGGTGACTTCCATCGGACAAACTCCAAAGGGTGGATCCAGGGCTGCAGAGCCACAAATTGGGGTGTTCAGGCTTAGCACAAACTCCAGGCATCCATCTCTAGGAGCAAACTGGCCATTTGGCACAGAGATCCGAGACTGTGGCCTGCCAACACTCAACACCTAAATCACAGGGTGCTCTGAAATGGGCCATTCCATGTGGGCGGGAGGGGCCTCTGGCCTCCCTGAGTCTTATTCCATTTCCTTGCAAATGGTCTGCATGGCTCTTGTTATCACCGTTTCTAGCTCCACGCTCACGTTTTATGTCTCAGAGATAGTGTTTATTGATACTAAACAATGCTCGGCTGCTATGCAGAACATCTGTGCCGCAGCTGCCACAGCCCCCATGGAATTTTTGTAATAGTTGTGGGGTGATTTGCTAGCACGGTACATACAGCACTGAGAGAACTATGTTCTGCTACTCAAAAGGATTTGGGATAACTGGAAATTTCAGGGTTTTAAAGGTTGTTGAGTTGGATGTGGTTGGGGGCCGGGCATTTTGTTTGTTTTTGATATGTAAATATCAGTTGGAAACTTGTTTATAAATCTCAGCAGCAAGAATTTTGTACAGATATGCCCTCCCACTGCCCCCCCCCAAAATCACCTAAGAATTAACTAGAAAAGTGCCCAAGGCCACAGAGCAAGTCTCTGGAATGTTCTAGAACCAAGTCTGCTGGTAAAAACTAAACTGCCAACAATTGAGCCACTCTCCTGCACTAGACAATGAAAGCAGGCCTTTTATGACCTAATATATGTTTTTAAACTACACAGAAAGAGGAGGTGTTGGGAGAAGAGGTTCTGATCCATCCTTCATTAGCATCTTAGCACAACACCGTGGCTGTTATACTAAAAGCCCTAAGAGGTGTAGATAAGGAATGTGTGTGGTGCCCTTGGCTTCTCCAAGCACTTTTCCTGTTACATTTTCCTATTAGACTTCTCTAAGGTGCCCAGGAGAGCAGAGCTGAGGCCACACACACTCAGCATTCTTTTTGTTCTGGAAAGTAATTCTTTATGCTCTGGAAAGTGGGCATAAGCTCACCCAGAACACTCAGCTACTAAATTCTAATGCTCCCAGCCCTTCCAGGTCTTACATTCATGCCTGCATTGTGTACCTATTGTGTGCCTACTATGTGCCAAGGACTCTTCTAAAATACAGTAGTAAGTCAGAGAAGATGCCTGGTCTCAACAAGAGACACTGAAAACATACGCACATAAACGAGAAGCAGAAGAAACATACAAAATGCAGACAGTGATGAGGCTGTGCAAGACTGAAGAGGCTGTGGAAGACAGTGATGGTTGGGATAGGGCGGAGGCTGCCCTAAAGCGGAAGGTCCAGAGAAGGCTTGCTGACACTTGAACTGAGATCTGAACTGTAAAAAGAATCCATCATGGGATGATGAGGAGGTCAGTGTTCTAGGAAGCCCAGAAAGCCATAACACTGGGAAAGCTTCATCCAGGGATTGGAGGACAGTGGCTGGGGTGGGGGTGGGGGAAGACATGTGTGACAAGGTAGGCAGAAGCTTACAGAGCCAGGGTGTGCTGCTCCAAGTGCAAGGGAACCCACTGGGGAGCATGGTGCCATCCGGGTGCACTATCCCACTCTCTCTTCAGGAGAGAACCTGCTGGGAAGCGATGCATCAGCGGACCACTTCCAACCGCAATGTCATAAAGACCCACCCAGCATTTGACCTGAGGCCTCACTCTGACCACTACAGGGGTATGTGGAGCTCCTCGCTGGGCTGGCACAGGCTTTGCAGAGCTGCACTGCTGCCGACGCCCTTGCTACCCCTATCTTCCTTCCTCACTCCTCTCCCTGCCTCTTCCTGCCCCTTCCTTCACCAGCCTCCCCTTGTGAGCCTCCTAACTCTGTCTTGCCTTTGCTTCCCAGAGAACCTGGCCTGACGGGGCAGCAGGTTTTGAGCAAGGGCTGGGGGAGGGTGCAGGAGATCAGTCAGGAGCTGCTGAGGAGCAAAGCTGCAGACAGATAAGTCTTGGCCGTGCTCTGTTTGAGGGGCCTTTCAACACTTGGATGAGATCCTAATTGTCCTCTGAACCCAGGGGAAATGAAACTGTCTTGGATGTTGCTGTCAAGATTAACAACAGCTGCCATTTAGTGGGCATGTGGCACAGGCCAGGCATGGTGCTAAGCACCCTGTAACAGTCATTCTACCCAGTCTTCATAACAATGCCACTTAGAAAAACGAGGAGATGGACTCAGATAGGTTCACAGTGCAGCGTTTCACAGAGAAGCGAGGGCACAGTGGGCATGAGAGCGGCCCTACACCAGGCATCTGTCTTCCTGGTTATTTCATCTACAGCTGGGTCTCCTATTCTCAATTCTCTCCTCCCAGAAATTTCTGAGCCATCTCTTAAGTCTTCAGTATCAACACCAAGCGTTTGCATACAGGTGCCCACGCACAGGAACTTCCAGGAGCTTCATGGGCCCATACGAATGCTGGCAAGCATCCCCTGTTCAGTGACAGTCCTGGCATCCCCAGCTACAAATAGAGGCTGGAGGAGAAAGCAGGTCCTGGTCACTAGGACCTGGGATGGCAGGGACCTGGGGAGAAAAGAGACCCCTGCCCTCACCCTGCTTCCCAGGCACTGGGGAGCCAGGGCCTCCTTCTGCAAAAATAGCTTTTTCTCCTCTTTTAGGGACCATGGGGCACCTGCTCTGAGTGTCCAGCCGAGGCCCACTGGCCCCCGAATCCCCTGGGAAGCTCGTGGGCAGAAGCCGGAACACCATCCTTCCTCCCCGGAAGAAAGCTGGCTTGTTCCAGGAGCACAAAGGACAGCCAAGGGGCCTGACAAGCTGTGCATGCTAATGGCCCGGGGGCTCCGAAAGCAGGCTCTGTGTTGGGGGAAGGCAGCAGCTGGGGCTCCTGCCCTGTGCTGGCCCTGGCTAGACCCGGAGTGGATGGCTGCTGTGCTCCCCCTCTTCCAGGGAAGGGCCCTGGACCGGATGCCTCCCCAGGCGGGCCCAGTCCTCCCCCAGGCCACGCTGAGTCACCTGTGCCCAGCACGTGGGGACCCAGGCGAGCATCTGTTGCAGGCAGCACACCGTCTAAACATCCGTGCAAACTTGGACCAACAGGTCCTGTTGAAATGTGCTAACCATCTGCTTTTCCTTAGCTGTTTTTGAGCAAATTATGTTTATTATGTTAATTTATTTTACTGTCAACAACACCGAATGACACAGTTGCTGCTAAACAACATCATTATATATCTCATTCTGGCATATTACCAGAAGGTCTTTTTTTTTTTTTTTTGTAAATGCAACAGGAATAAATACACATTGAAATGTTGGTCTATTTAAAATTACGTCTGGGACGGCAAAGCTGTAGGTGCAGGCGTGCCTGCGGGCTGCTCACTTTTTTAGGGACGGCTTTCTCTAGGAGACACAGGGCAGTCTGAATGAGGCTTGGACATGAACATGGGGCTTCTCAGAAGCCTGCAGGGTTGGGAGAGAAAGAGGCCCTAGAGCATCTGATTTCCCCTCTCAAAACTTCCTCTTCTCTCAGCAAATCCCCCATTTTCCAGATGGTTAAGCCAAGAGGACCAGGCAGTGTCCTGAGCAGAGAGAGCGTGTACCCTAGTGATTCACTGGGGACCCTAAAACCAACATGGCCAGGCAGGGGTTGGAATTTATAGTAATTATGTTTGTGACCATCCCCTGCCCCTTCAGAGACCAATGAACTCCATATTCCCAGAGAGACGGGAGAAAAAAGAGGAGAGCTAGTTGAGAGAGAGAAAACGTTCAGCATAGAACATACTGCTCTCCACCAGCTCCTCAGCACAGAGCTCACGGGGAGCTGAAGAACCTCACAGCAGCACCACGCTGACTCGAATAGTTCCTCAATTAGGTAATAAGCAACATGAGGAACAGGCAGCTTCCTGGGAGGAAAACAGAGCCTCAGACAGAGACCAGGGCAGCCTGCTGTGCAGAGGATCAGGGTTTCTTTCATTCAGCTCCCAAGCCCAAGTGAGGTTGAATCTGCACACCCCAACCCGGGCCTGCCTGTGTCAACGAGAGGGCAGGCTTCCCTGTATAATGGAAGGCAGCTTTGCCTGCTGACCCCTCGGAAGCTGAGAAAACCCCCATGTGGGATTTTTACAGCACAAATGACCCGCCTGATCAAGAGATTTGGTAGCCAGGTGGCTTCTGGGTGTCCTCGCAAATATTTGGTTTCAGAGAACGAGTCACGTTACACAGTTTAATATTGGGAGACTGAAGGGGCTGCAGCAGTCAGCCTTTGTCCCCCCACTTGTCCTGCAGCCGCCAGTAGACAGCCCATAAAAAACGTGGGGCTCATGTTCACACAGATGGCTGTGGGTTTTATGGGCTGGGCGAGAGGAGCGGAAGACGATGGCCGTGGTGAGGCTGTCAGAGGGTCTCAATTAAATGGGTCTCAGCTGCTAGGGACACCTGGGCTCTGGGGGCCCAATGGGGACTCGATGTTCTTTGAGGGCTCCCTGCCCACCCCGGAAATGTGCAAAGGACTCTGTCCCATCCTGCCTCCCAGAGCTACCACCTCACAACCTCCTAGTCCCAGCACACGGCTGCCTTTCAGCCCTTGAAGGATGGCCACAGTGCCAGCTCCTGCCCCTCAGGGTGGGCACCCTGCCTCTTTGCTTTTACCCTTGGGAAAAGGTAATAAACTGCCTCACCCTAAAATAGGTTCCTAAATTCTATCTCTTCAAGGGCATGTTCCATTTAATTGGGGCTCAGCCTTAAATCAAAGGAACTGGTCTGTTATTGTGGAATAGTAGATGACAGGAAAGGAGAGCCTCTTGTCCCCTGTGCTTTCAGCTCATTCAGGGACAATAGGAAAGGAGGGCGGGGCCATTTCAACCTATGGTGGGGGCTCCTCTGCAGCCTGAATCCTTCTGGGCACTCTGGCTCTTGAACGGCAGCCTTCATTGGGACCACAGGGACTGTTCAGGCTCCTGGAAAAGGGAGATGAAAAAATGCTTGGAGAGGGGTGCTGGCCACAAGGTGGCGCTATTGTCCAGGGTGGTCATTTGCCCTAAGAACCGGGGTGGAGGGTGAGAAGCTGCTAGAACCACACTGGGGAAGGAGAGAGGGTAACTAGAGAGTGCTGTCTTTGTGGGGTGCGTCTAGTCTGTACTCAGAAGCGACCGGAGACAGGAGCTTAAAGAACAAATTGCAAATTCTTCCACATCCTTCTCTATCTCTGTTACAAAGCCTTGATATTCTCTTGACTGCTGGGGTGATGGGGTTGGGGTGGATCAAGGAGACATTGTGTTGGGGTTGGCGGGCAGAGGAGGGGTGGGGCGGGGACGGTTTAAGCAGAGTGGTCCTAACAGGTTATTGGACAGTAAGTATTTTCGGGAGGGTGTGAACCGAGCTCCGCTGGCGGCCTGGGCCGCGCTGGGTCCAGGCTGGGCTCTCAGCCTCTTCCTGGGCTCACTGCTTAGCTCTGGAAAAAGCAAAAGCATCTCTTCATGCTGAGCTTTCTTCACATAAAGTGATTACCACGTGTCAGAAATAAACTGCTGTTTCTGTACATAATCATAGACCACTTCGGAGAACAGTGACTTTGGGTCAAAAAGGAAAACTACTTCAAAATAAAAAATGCTGCAAGCTGGTTTCTGCGCTCTCGCTCTCTCTCTCTCTCTCTCTCTCTCTCTCTCTCTCTCTCTCTCTCTGGGAGGAGGGGGCCGCAGGAGGATCGAAAAAACAAACACGAAAAGTCAGTCGGTATCTCCTCACCACTGCAGCTGATTTCCTGTGTAAACGAAAACCATGTGATATTCCATAAATGCTTCCAGCTCTAAAAGACAGGAAATGAAAACCATCATGGAAAAGGAAAGCTGCAGAATAAATTCCCAGGGCAGATAGCATTACAGCGACATTGCACGGGGACGAACGCTGGGCCGCCTGCACATACCTGCAGGTCATTAGAGTGACTGCTAATGGGGACCCGGGAGAGTGGACCAGCTCTGTGTTGCTTCTGCGGGAGAAACTGGGCGGCGGCGGTCACACCCACGGCGCTGCGCCTGACAACTCCGCTTTCAATTAAGAACCGAGCTGAGAAAGTAGTCTTTTCTTTCTGCACGCCTCCCGAGGTCAGGTTACGACCTCTCAACCGAATTCAATCGCGGTGGCATCCATATGCATGAGGGCTAATTAACTCTGAAAGGCCCGGCCCGCTGGGTCCTCCCCGCTGCGCTGGGGTGGGTGAGCCCCCCCCTCGTCTTCCCCGAGGCCCGGCCTCTGCAGCTGCTCCCGCGCCGGCCGAAGTGCGCACATGTGCGCGGGGAGCGCGGCGTCTCAGCGGCGGGGACCAGCGGGGCGAGGGGAATTAGCCGCGTCATTTGTCGCCAGCCTAGCAACACGTGCGTGCTTATCCTGATAGCTCCCACCTGGCCTCTGAGTTCTGAGGCCACATGTGGGAAATGGACGCTCATTCTAAAGGGGATTTCAGGTTTGAGGTTACACTGGGCCTTGCAGCCAGGAGGCTGGGATCGGAGTTCCAGCTCCATCCAGGCTGCCTGTGGGATCATGGGCAAGTCAGCCCACCTCTCTGGGTTCTCTGCATTTGCTGTGCTGGCACATGAGGCAGTTGGACTGGAGAAAAGGTCAAATCCGTTCCACTTACAGATAAATCCCAAGAGGTCTTTTCCAGCCACCATAGTTTTCCCAGTTCTGAGCATTTTTAGGTTTCCCAGTTCATGATAAGCCCCGAGGTGCCTAGTTTCCAGGAGGTGGCAATCTGTGGGGTAACATTTTCTACTTTTTCCTGTATCAGTTAAGACCCTCCCATTTTGTATTTTACAAACTAACTTGAACAAGCTTCAGCAAACTAGAGAAAATTTACTGCTCGTGGACCCACAGCCTGGGATGCAGCCGGGCTAGGAAAATTCCTACTTTGTCCTTCACTTACCCTTTCTTCTCTATTTCTGCTGCTTTATTTTTGTTAGCCAACTGGTTTCCTCTAGGCCTGTTTCTTAGAGTATGTGGCATAGAAGACAGTCTCACCCAGCATTTATCAGGTTAGAGCTGCTGTATTCAATAGATGGACGCAAAGCAGCCCAGCCTGAAACTGCCCAAATTTCAGGCACAAAAAGATCAGATTGGCCCAGGTTGGATCACGTGCCTAATCCTAGCCCAATCAACTGTGAGGGGAGAGTCAGTCACATGATATAAACAAGGGTTGCCATAGGCTTATCGCTGTGGGTAGAGGGAACTTAGGGGGTGAGCAGGCCAGGCATGCCAAAGCTATCTACTACAGTGACTCAAATCCTGATTTCAATTAGGTGCAAGGTAATTTCCTCAGAGACAGCTCCCTCTGGACTCCTGGCTCAGAGCTGGCTTCCCCTGTAATAAAGAGGGGCAGGATTCCCTATCTGGAGTTCAGGAACACCGCGATGAACATGCTTGACTTTCCTCAGCGTCTAGCAGAAAATCAGGAATGAAGCCACAGGCCCTGAAGCCACAGAGAGGAGGAGAAGCTGCCTCTTTCTGAGAGAGACATCTGTGGCCTGGTCCTGAGGCAGGATGGTGATTGCCAGGGTGGGGCGCTGGCTGGCTTGGCTGCCTTCCATCCTGCAGTAGAGGAGAGGTCCAAGTCAAGACAGTAGGAAAAGAGGAAGATACGATATGAAATGGATTCACTCCATAAAAGAAGCCACAGGCAGGAGTCTACAGGAACTGAGCAGGGCTGTTAAGGACAGGATAGTGTGGACATCACTCAGTCATAGAGTCACTAGGAATGGGAGCAGACTCAACCCGGCAGGTAACACACCAAGTCAAGCCCAGTGCCTCCTGTTCTGAGGAAACCAGAGCCTACCTACAGATGCGACTACCTAGTCAACAAATCAGACCTCCTGAGGGCAGTGAAACACTTAGAGCTCTTAGTCGTAAAAAATAAAATCTACTTTGGCTAGTTGAGCAGGAAATGGATTTATTAAGCGTATTAGTCAGGACAGGCTAACCCTACAACAACCCCCAAATCAAAGTGGCTTAAAATAATTAGCGGTTGATTTCCCATTCACGTCACAGTTCAGTCAGGGATTCAAGGACCCAGACTCTTTTCTATTAGTGGTTCCACCATCTTCTAGGCCTCTTATTGCCTTCCACTGCATCCTCTATACCCTGCTGGGAGATAAGGACATGGAGGATTGCCCCAGAGGTTTTAGGGACCAGGCAAGAAAGTCTGTCACTTCGGCTCACACACCAGTAGACAGAACTCAGTCGTGTGACCACACCCAAGTACAAGGAAAGCTGGGAAAGGCAGTCTAGCTCTGTGGACAAAGAAAAAATGGATCAAGTGAGCATCTAGATTTTCTCTTAGATGTTAGCTCGCAGAGTCATAGGCAGGTGGGAGTGAGCGGAGGCTGACCTCCCAGGAGGGCTCCCAAAACCCAGCTACAGATTCCATGAGTAGACATTGGTGGCCTCTGCACTCAGAAGCACTAAATGCTAGAAACCTGCTTGATTGCACATTCCACCTCTGCTAGAACTAATGAAACTTCCAGTCCCAGGGCTTGTCCTTGCAATGTCTGGGAAACCGCTGCCACCATGGAAGGCCAGGTGTCTCTGCCATCACCCAAAACGCTTTTTTAAAAGTCTAGAGGCACCAGGGAGAATTCACTCCCCTCACTTTCCCCCTCCCCGCTTCAGGTTATTCACTTCCAAATTCACGTTTTGAATAGGAGCCTTTGAAGGGTCAACTCTTCATTCTTCCTGCAAGAGAGGCTGGGAATTGGAGTTCTTTCATTCTGGGAAGGCAGGACCCATATTGTGAGCCTTTCCTGTAATAAGGAGATAGACAGTCATAAGTGAGACAAGTTTCCATCATTTGTAGGGGGAGCGGGAAAGGAGGCCTCCTGGCAATTACAGCTCTGGCTGGGCCTAGGTAAAATGGTGTTGAGGAGGAATTATAAATTATTTTCAAGCAGTTCCAAAAGCAAAAAGGCTAAGTAGCGGAAACATAGGTTCTTGGAGTTGGGAGTAAAGTTAAAGGTTATCTGTCTGATCTTCCGCTTCACACAGGAATCCCCTTTACCCAAGCTGCCCTGTGACAAGTCAGCCCCACTGAAATCTTCACAGTGATGGGTGACTCAGTACCTCTTACAAAGCAGCATTTTGAGTCACTTTTTCTTCTTAGAAGGTTTGTTGTTGTTGTTTTTTCCCCCAAGTGAAGCAAAAATCTGACTTTCTAGAACTTCTACCTCTAGCTCCAGTTCTGCTCTGGGAAACCACATAGAACAAATCTGTCCTTTGTGCGTATGACAATTTTTGTATCTACCACCCTGTCCTTTTTCTACTTTTGTTCAGGTTGAATATGCCTACTTCTTTCACCTCTGTTCCTCATTTGGTGATCTGCTTAGGCGAGACCTGTGGGCAGATCAGAAGGCCATATCCCCAATGGCAATGGTATAAATTTGACTACTCTTTAAAAGTGTCTCAAAGAGATGCATAAACACTCCAACTGGACTGATAGGGAAACTGAGATGCTGAGAAATCAGGCAACAGAAGGAATCCAGAAATCCAGGGTCAGATCAAGACTTGAAACCACTGTCCCGAGTTCTGCAGACACCTCTCCCACTAGGTCCCCTCCTCCCTGGGTCCATTTGAGGCCCCCCTTTTGTGTGCTGGGTCCCTTGAGGCTTCACAGGTTTTCAAGCTTGGGGAGGTCTGGCCTAGCGGCGGTCTGACAGCCCCGCCATGGGGGATGTCACAGGGACACCTTTCAACTGTTACTGCAAACAGTAAAAGATGCTGCCGTGAGGACATAGGAATAAGTTCTCCTGTAAGAGCCTCTACCATATTACCCTGAATGTTCGAGTAGGGTGCCTTAGAAAAAAATAAAAACAAAAAAGACTCACTTAGCCTAAATTTTTCTTTTAGGAAAAAAAATATTATGTTATATTTCTGAAACCACTACCTGTCATCTCCATTGCACTTGGCCTAATGGGCCCTCACCGGAAAGGAAGGAGCCTGTTATTAGAGGAATCACCTGCGGTTGTGCAGAGCCACTCTGGAAATGACAGCTATAACAGACATACATCACGGGCACGTTCAGATGTGGATATTTCACAGGATGCCTGAACCATCCAGTTCCTGGACTTAAATTATGGTTCGTTCCAAAAGTCCAGGATCCTTGGCTCTATCTATCTACCTTATCCACTGTTCTCACGATCATAAAGGAGATGGATGCTTACTGTAAAATATCCCGAAAATACATGCATGTATAAAGAACAAATAAAAATGGCCAGAAATAACCACAATTTAGTGCCTTTTGTCTGGGTTTTTACACATACATTTATGTGTAATAATGTCAACGTCATGCTGTATGGACAGTTTGGTACACATTTTTCTCATTTAACACTGTAGTTATGAGCGTGTTGCCATTTGCCAGCATTTGTTGAGAATGTGGCTGTAAGGCTGACTCATATTCCTTCTTTCACTTGCTATTTCAAAGTCAGGTAGCATCGCATATGCCGGGAGACAATGCGTGTGTGTTGCAGACTTGGGAGCCCTCGTGAGAATCATCACCTGGTAGACGAGGAACCAGTCATTGCAAAAGTGGCAAGCGCTACGGGGAAGGACAGGGCATCACACCAGCATGGAAGAAAGGGACCCAACATGTGTGTGGGGGGGTGGGGCAGGGGGGTTGGGAGGCTACCCTGAGAAAGCCATGCTCTAGCAGAGCCCTAATGGGTGGATGCTGATGGAAGTGGTCAGATGCCTGAGGGAGGAGGTGGAAAGAACAGAACTTGGCAATGAACTGGATGTGAGGGAGGAACAAAGGATGTCTTGAAGGTTTCTTGCTCCAGCCACCAGGCAGATGGCCCCACGACCAACCTCCTGGTCTAGAGACTTTAGGTTGTTTCCACGTTTCCTTTTTTTTTTTCCTTTCTATGAATAATACCGCACTGAACATTCTTAAGCATAAATCCGTGCCTCTCTGTTTATGGCCTCAGGAGAAAGGAAGTCCTGGGTCCTATGGTATGACGGTTTTTAAAGATTTTGATAATCATCTTCTGGAGAGGCCTTCCCCAATAGCCAGGAGGGGGCGCGTTCCGTAGCTCCCTCAACAACAGTCACAGTAACCCTAACGATAATAATAACAGTGGAATGTGTGTTAGTT